CTCTTCTGGAGGCTCACTCTGGCTTCTTCACCTTACCTCTCTGCAGAAGGCCTCCTGGCATACGACTTCTGGAAACTATGTGCACTTTAGCCCCACATCTCTGATGAACCCAGGCTCTTGAGAGAGATGCTATCTCCTGGTGGGGAGGAACAGGCATGGAAGACACGAAACATACTGCATGTTGTCATGTGATACGTTTACCTCTGAGACCTGTGATACTGTGATATAATAAGAAATATGAGGGTACTTCAAAAAGTCCATGGAAGAATAGAATTAAAAGATAACACAAATGTTTTCATGAACTTCTTAAAGGCCCCTTGTGTATATTTGGCCTTCTTCCAGGTTCCTAGCACAGAGCTCCTAAATCCCTTGGATAGGGGTGAGAGGAGCAACTTTTGTTATTTATAAAAAGTCCCTCTCAACCATACCTGAGTTTATGCTAATGAAGTGTCTCCTGGAGGATGGTAGCTGGTTACCAGAGGAACTGCTGGGATTAGAGGGTTAGAACTTTCAGCTCCGCTCCCTACCTTGGGAGGGGAGAGGGGCTGGAGATTGAGTTGAATCACCAATGACTGAATGACCAATGATTTAATCAGTCATTCCTACGTAATGGAGCCTTCATTAGAAACCCTTGAATAAAGGGGTTTGGAGAACTTCCGGGCCGGTGAACGCACGGAGGTGCTGGGAGGGTGGTGCCCCTGGAGAGGGCATGGAAGCTCCATGCATCCCCCTACCTGCCTGTATAATACCTTGCCCTCTGCATCTCTTCCATTTGGCCGTTCCGTTTATAAGAAACTGGTAAATATAAGTAGAGTGTCTCCCTGAGTTCTCTAAGCCATTCTAGCAAATTATCAAGCCTGAGGAAGGAGTTGCAGGATCTCCTGATTTATAGCTGGTTGGTCAGAAGGGAGGCCTAGACTTGTGAGTGGCATCATTAGTGGGTGCAGTCTTGTGAATCTGAACCCTCAACTCGTGGTTCTGATGCTAACTCCATGTAGACAATGTTAGAATTGAATTGAATTGTTGGACACCCAGTTTGAGTCCATAGAGAATTGGACAATTGCTTGGTGTGGGGGGAAAAAAAACCCCCACACATTTGTTGTCAAAGTGTTCAGAGTAGAAGAAAGTTTTGCTTTTTTGAACTTCATGTTCTTCAAGGGCAAGGATTGTCTCATTCTATGTTCCTTGCTGATGGAGATCTCTAACAGATAGTCTTGAGGGAAGAAAATGGCTATTAGCTGCCAGAATGGGAATGGCTAGTGATCTCCTGGCTCCACGGATCCAGTAAGATTATCCATGTTCACAGATGAGCAGGCGGCCTTGCATCTGTGCCATATTCCGCCTTTCAAAGGTCTCCTCCACACCTGACACTACTGGTTCCTCACAGCCTCCCTGAGACAGAGCCAGCAAGAACCCTTTCTTGCCCAGGTGTTGTGCTGTCACCTCAGACCCAGTAGGTCTAGAACTGAGCTCATCAGCTCCACCCAAAACAGGTTCCCGGTCCTCAGCTCTCCCAATCTCACTGGCCCCGGGCTCCTGAGTTGTGAATAGGATACACCTTTGACTCATGTTTCACTTCAGGCCAGCTCCCATGGGTTCACCCAGCTTGCTGTTTGCCAACTACAATCTCATCGCTGGGCATTCAGCCCATGGGTCTTCTTTTATGGCCCTCTGTTGCTGGGGGACATAGTCTGGGCCCTCTGGGCTTGGCTTCCCCTCACTGCCCTCCCACCTTCATCCTGATACTAAGGCCCCAAATGGGGCCAGTCTGCTGAAATATAGGATCTTTCTTTTAAAAATCCATTGTGTTTGCATCTGAGGTCACTTGATTTGTTATGCACTGCTATCCAGACCCCTGAAGTAGTGGGTGTATTCCCAAGCTCCTTTCATTAATTGCCCTGGTCCAGCTTATATGAATTCCGTGCAAGGTTTTGACTCATCTTGAGCAGCTGTATGCTCCTGTATAATCTCGTCAACTATTTTGACATTTGCCAACTACATCCTGCCCGTACATGCTTCCCTGCCTGGAGCATCTCTTCCCCATCTTCTGAAAAAGCTCCTGCTCATCCTTCAAGACCCAGGGAAACTGCATACCTGCCGCTATCAGCACATCTCACACTGTGTCATCATTATTTATTCATTCTTCTGTCTTCTCCACTAGACCATGTAGTCCACGGGAAAAGAGACTAGGTCTGATTTATCAGTATCTCCTCAGTGTTCAGCACAAGCAGGGGTTCAGGGAATGTGGGCTGCATGGGTCCATCTATTTATTCACAGGTACTTATTCATTGTGCCAGGTCCTCTGCTAGGCACTGGGAACACAGGGTAAACAGTGTAGGGTCCTTCTGTCTCCATCGAGAAGGTGGTCAGTCAGCAAGGAAACAAATATATGGACAAGATACTTTGGAATTGCTGTCTTTCAAAGGGGGTGCTTTAGATGGGTGGGAGATGGGGTGCAGGGAAGGCCTCTCAGAGAAGACACTTTGGAGCTGAGACCTGAAGGATGAGACTAAATCAGCTGTGTAGAGAGCTGGGGAATGAGCTCAGGGCAGCGGGCATGGCAGGTGGAAGCTTGCAGAGGAAGAAAAGGTCTTGGCATATTTGGGGAGCAGGCAGGAGACCAATGCTGCTGAAGCATAAGGAGCCATGGGCAGAGTGATGTGATACTGGCCTGGCCAGATCCTGTAGCTCCTCTTTCACAAGTCACAGGAAGGAGTTTGGATTTTTTCCCAAGAGCAGTGGAAAGTTTTTGGAGGGAAGTATTTCAAACTTTTTGTGTCGCTTATGGCTGAACAGGTGAGAATCTGCTGATTATTGCTCTACTTCTGCTACCTCCCCTTTTCCTGCTGCCTCTTTTATCCCGAGCCAAGCTTGCTCCCATTGAGACCCCAAGATTTCCACACCATGTTTGCTCTGTAGCAGTCGGGGCTGCTTTTCTTATCCTGGAGCAGCTCTGTTCCTTGTTTTAGTCTTTTCTGCCTCCTGCCAGGTCTCTGATGCCATGAGGTTCCCCAGTTCCCTCTGTGGGCTCCCATTCTCATTCACTCTGAGCAGACTAAACATGGTTCTCAGACCCCCAGGCTGAATGCCTGTTTCTGAATCTTCCTTGGCCTTTGCACTTGGAATCATGACCCTCTTTCCCTCATATGCATAGTGGCCATGCCTGCCTTCTGCAGATGAACCAGCCTCTTGAGCTAATCTGGATTTTCTCTCCCTGAGCCTACCCTTTTTTTTGTTTAAAGTCTCATCTAATGAGCTGTCCTGGTAAAAATATGTCCTGAGGTTATCTACTCACTTAAAAAAACCAAAAACAAAAATAGCTAACGTATATTGAACACTTGTTATATGCAAGAGAATGTACTTAGTGCTCTCTATGAAATCTCTTTTTTTGTGGCAGCTGGCCAGTATAGGGATTGAACCCTTGACCTTGGTGTTATCAGCACCATGCTCTAACCAACTAAGCTAACCAGCCAGCCCCCTCTCTGAAATCTTAATAATTAATCATGACATCAATCCTATGAGTTTGATGTTATTATCCCATTTTACAGATGAGGAAATTGAGACTCGGTTCACACAGTAGTAAATGGAAGAGCTTTGTCTGAACTGGGGCTACCTAACTCTAAGGCCTGTGAATTTAACTGTTGCTGTCTGGTACAGTCCAGTGTGGTTCTTTGTGGTCCTGAAATTCTTATCCATGCCGTCTCCAAAGCCACTCCTTTGTGGTGCCTATTTTCCCCTCTTCACTCCAAAGGTCCAACTTCACAGGGAGAACAAGCAGAGACCCTTGGAACCATCCATTTCTTGGCCTGGCCATGCTTGGGTGTGGGCACAATGCCTCTGTTCTCCAAAGCACTTATGCCAGTTGGGCTCATGCATGGATTTTGCTGAATGAACAAACAAAAGATGACTCCTACTCCCAGTTGAGTCACAAACTAAGACGTGAGCTAAGGCTCTTCTTAGAATCACAAATGCTGTTGTAAGTCCCTCCCTGCTACCCAGGTTGGGGGTGGAAAGCAAGAAAAATGAGCAGAGGCTGCAGGAAGACAGTTTAACTTGAAGACTTTTCTAAGAAGTAGAGTTTTCCAGGAATGGAAGAATTTGCCCCAGGCTTGGGGTTATGCAGTTCTCCATCCCTATAGAGAGGGCCCTTAGAGGGGAGATTCAGAGTTAGGGAGCAACTGGACTATGTATCCTTGGAGATGTTCTTCAGCCGTGAGAGGATGTGATTCTGAACCGTGAATGGTGTGGGGTAGAGTGGATCTAAATGGTCAGATACAGTGTTCCTGGGACAGTGCTCTGTCTACATCAGTGTGCCCAAGGCCTTACTAGGCTGGGCACACTGGCCCATTTGGAAGAGTGAAAGTGGCGGTTGAGGTCTCTCAGCCCGGGTCACACCTGCCCAAGGAAAGCATTGCAGGTGTGGGGAAAATGCAGCTATAAGACAGTTAAATGCCTGTGGTGACTGTCCTGATCCCTGCTGCAGTGCTGAGTATACCCCCACAGGGTCTTCATTAGCTGTGCTGCTTTCCCCCACCACTCAGAGGTTGGAGCTTCTGGAGCTTGGGATTATCATCATGGCGAGGTGTAACAATCGCTGTCTTGCTGCTGCAGGTGACTTTGGAAAGCCTGGTGACTTGTCATTACAAAAGTGAATGGGATCATGTGCTAGAGGTTTGTGGAAATAGAGCACTCATGCCAGGAGGGAGAAGCCAGAGAGATGTCAGAAACTGCACATGGGCTACTAGGATTCTCATAGAAGTGCATCGTATAACGATGGAATTAAAGGGCTTTGTGGTCTTGTGTGCATGGTGTGGAATGCTCTGTAATTTTCCTTCATGCCAGGAGGGAGAAGCCAGAGAGATGTCAGAAACTGCACATGGGCTACTAGGATTCTCATAGAAGTGCATCGTATGACGATGGAATTAAAGGGCTTTGTGGTCTTGTGTGCATGGTGTGGAATGCTCTGTAATTTTCCCTTTGTTTTATATTTGAATTTTCAGTAAGAGGAGGAGGAGACTAAGCAGGCAAAAGGAGTCATGGCTTCTGATGCTAGCCATATGCTGGAAGCTGCCCTGGAGCAAATGGATGGCATCATTGCAGGTACACTCGGGACACCCCAGCCTCTGCATTTCAGAAACATTCTCCCTCATTTTATTTTCTTTATCATAGAGAAGCCTCTTGTTAGATTTATTTTTAAATAGTTTTATTGTGCATGTCATTTCTTTTTTTTTTAAAGTACAGACTTATAGAACTCTTTGATGCCTGTTGTGAGAATCTAGGTCTCTGCTGAGACAGTGGGTATGTACCTTGTGTACATATATAGCCCTGTTACAGTTTGGATCCTGGCTATGAGGAAGTTTGGGTACAATGAAATTGATTCTGTTGTAAAAATTTCAGAGCACATCATGGCTTATTACAGCCCAGCTGAGACTCAAAATTTAGCAGGCTTTGCCACCTAATGGCGGTGACAGCTTACTTCCTCAGCTGGTCTCCTCTGTGTTTCAGAGATGGGAGGCAGTTTTGTGTTGATTCACCTAACGATTGGAATATTCTTTATGCCATATTATTTTTTATCCATCTCAACTGTTTGGTTTTAATGCTTGCAGTAGCCAGTAGGGGACTTTTCTCTAGAAAAGATCCAGGAATGGTTAATTGGAAAGAACTGCCAGTGGGATATTCTGGCTGATTAAATCCTTGATAGGGGCAACCATATTGGTTATAACAAACCTGTTGCAGAAAATCTTCTCAAAAGGTCCCAAATCTTCTTCCTGTCCTTATCTGATACAGTTCAGTGGCCTTATTTGTGGACTGGGTTTGCTTCTTCAGGACTTTGCTCATTGTATGAGCTACTGCTGGAAGAGATGGGGAAGGAGGGTATTGGCCTGAGTGTGGTGAGACCCCAAGAAGTGCACAGGATACCTGACACTGCCCCCTTTCTGCCATTTCCTTTGCCTTTCAGTTGCAGAGATACAACTAACTCATGGAGGGTTCTGGGTGTTTGACCTGGGGGTGGGGGTGGGAGTGGGGGTGTTTGTGTCTTGCAGCTTTTCCATGTTATTAGTGGCACTATAACATGTTCTAGCCATCATCTGTCAGGCTCTTAATTTCTCAGTGAACAGAGGGCTCCTTAGAGGCCATGACTAATATCCTGCATTTCAGAGGCTCCATAGATTGGGATGTTCCATTCTAGGATAGGCTCCCTAATGCCCTATTGAGAAGAAAGAGTCAAGACAGTGGATTTCTCAGCAGTCTTTATGTTGAAGCTCCCAGGAACTCATGCGCATTGAGATAAGAGCCACAGGGTCAGACCCTCAGACTAGCTGATGTGATCATTACTTCTGAGCCTCCAGCCAGGGACCTAGGAGAAGGCTCATTGAACCCCTTGGATGGTTTTGAGGAATTTTTTTCTCCATTGTATTTGCTCCTTTGTCAAAGATCAGTTGATTATATTTATGTGGTTCTATTTCTGAGCTCTCTATTCTATTGCATCATCTTTTCTATTTTTCCATGAACTTTTTGAAGTATCCTCATATTATTGTGAAGATTAAATTAATGCAAATAAGTCACTTAGAATAGTGCCAGCACTTAGTAAGTGCTCAATTGATGTATTTTTTTTTGATGTTAGTAATAATAATATTATTATTTTTTTTTACCACTCAAGGTCATAGTGCTGGTAAATGGCAGAACTGAGATTTGAGTCCAGGGCCATCTGAGTACCCACGTATTAGGGCTCCTTAGGCTCCTTTTACTCCTGGGTTGGTTTTGTGTTGATGTGTGGGGCTGTCTATAGGAGAAAAGAGTTAACTGGGAGGAGGATAGTGTTCTGCTCTTGCTGGCAAATCCTTAGCCAGTGTGGGTTTGTTCTTGCTTCTTAAACATTATTCCTTCCATGCAAGAGTTCCTTTGCTTAAAGGGTGACAAAGCTAAAAGAAAGTTTGACAAACTGTGGCACCACATCATGATATAACAGAGCCTGAAGAAATGACACTTTTTTGCCTCTTTTTATTTATATTCTCTTATTTGAGACTGAATGATGTCAAGTAGCGCTACCCCCACTACCAAGACACAACTGCTTTTGCATCTATTAAAGTACTCAAACAAGTACGTAAGGATTGTATTCTCTCACTTTTTGAAAACACAATTACCACTTATTTCAGTGGAATAAATTTTCACAGCCTTTCTGTACTCCCCAAATAGTAGCCAGTTATACAGAAAAACAACAACACTGATTCCTACTACAGTGGACTCAGTTCCTTCAGTAATGATTATTAATAATCATAGCACTATATAACAAGGAATTTCCCTTTATTAATTACTCTGTAGTGTTAGTTACTCTTCATTTTCCAAAGCTCTTTCCAAAAAGAGTGTACGTTAGGCATGTGATATCAATGTTCATGTAATTAAGCCTTTAATGCAAAAAAAAAAAAAAAAAGGTCCGTCCCCCTCCCCTAATCAATGAAAACAATGTGGATGATGATCACTCCTACAAACAATCAGACCAGGAGTATTCTGGGAGTACATCCTAATGCACAGAGGCAAATTCACCCCTCCAGATCCACAGTGTGATGACCCTAATCTCAGGGCGGTCAGCAGTTTGGGAGATGTGAGAGAGAAATCAGTTCTTGAAAAAGGCAAAGAGAAGTGCCTTGTAAGCAGAAGTGGGACTATTAAATGAAACTCCTTGGGGC